TGCTGCTGCTCTCGCTGCTGCTGCTGCTGCTGTTGGCGGTTCCGTTGCTGCTGCTGCTGATAAGGCCCTCGCTGCTTCTGCTGCTGCTGCTGCTGCTGCTGCAGCACTGCAGCGCCTGCAGCAACGCAGTGAGCGTCTGAGCAGCAGCAGCAGCAGCAGCAGCAGCAGCAAATCAAAAGGAAAGAGTGACAGCAGCAAAAGGACAAAAATAAATAAAAGTAAATTTTACAAAAACTAAAGAGTAAAAAGACGAAAAAGCCAGCGAGAGGCTAAGACCTGCAGCTGCAGCAAATCAAAAATAATTAAAATTATAAATAAAAATAACTATAACTGCAAATATAATTATAATTAAATAATTATAATTATAATTGTAATTATAATTATAATTATAATTTTTAATTATAATTTAAAATAAAAATAAAAATAAAATATAAAAGAAGATGCTCACTGTGATACTGAACTGCTGCAGCCGAGCAGCAGCAGCAGCGCCGACGCGCAGCAGCAAATCCCGCACTTGCAGCAGCTCCAGCGGCTGCTGAGGCTGCTGCTGCAGCTGATGCTGTTGCTGCTGCTGCTGTTGCTGCTGCGGCAGCAGCTGCTGCTGCTGTTGCTGCTGCTCTTGCTGCTGCGTTCGTCGCTGCTGCGCAGCAGCGGCAGCAGCAGCAGCAGTAGCAGCAGCAGCAGCACCCTCTGGCTCCGTGGAGGCCCCACATGCTCTACTGCACGTTGTACTGCTGCTGCTGCTGCTGCTGCTTCTGCTGCTGCTGCTGCTGATTTGCATGTGAATCTTGCTGAGGGCTTCTGCTGTCACAGCCAACTCCCAGGCAGTCATTTTGGAGAAGCAAAGAGGCAGCAGCTCCAGCAGCAAACGGTTTCTGAGCTGGAGAAACTGCTGCTGCTGCTGCTGCTGCTGCTGCTGCTGCTCAAGGCAGCTGAAGGCGGACACTAGAAAGGCAGCGCTGCGGCCAGGAAGAGGCCCCAGGAGAGTCCCGTAGTTCGGCAGGCTCGCAGCTGCTGCTGCAGCACTGCTGCTGCTGCTGCTGTTGCTGCTGCTGCTGCTGCTGTTGCTGCTGCTGTTGCTGCTGAGGACCTCAGGCAGCAAATCAAGGAACTCGGAGACTCGTGATGCTAAAGGGGTCAACATAGAGAAGGTGGGGGGCCCCTGGGGGCCCCCCAGGAGGGGCCCCGCAGCAGCACAAACTGCTAGGGAGGCCAGCTGGGGCAGCTGCAGTTGCTGCAGCACCGGCTGCAGCAGCAGCAGCTGCAGCAGCAGACTGCGCGTTTGCTGGTGAGATATCCGAGCAGCAGTGAAGGCCTCCAGCAGCGGCAGTGCCCACTTGCGAGCTGCTGCTGCTGCTGCTGCTGTTGCAGGCGCTGCAGGTGCGACCTCCGCTGCCTCTGCTGC